CTCTCTCTCTCTCTCTCTCTCTCTCTCACACACACACACACACACACACACACACACACACACACACACACACACACACACACACACACACATGGGCGCACACACACGCGATCTCTTCCGAGAAAGAGAGAGCAGAGGGCATTTTCGAATGAATCTGTCCACATTTTCTGTGCTACATTGAGGAGGAAAATGTGCCAGATGTTTCCAGTGATGGTTGTAGCAGGGAGAGAGAGAGGGGAGGCGCCGGGGGGGAGGGGGGGTGTCGAGGATTAGATTTAGTGACTGAATCTGGACATTTTCGAGGAGAGGATCAGAAAATCATGATTCTGCACCGCCTTGACAATCAGGACCATACTCAGGTGTCGAATCCAATCCTCTTTGCTACCTGGCCGGGGCACATCCGAACGTCCGGACTTCCTGACACATCCGGACCTCCGGACATGCATGGTTCCGGACGGTCCTGACGGATAAGCAGGTCCATAAATGTCCGGACCATTAAAAAAAATAAAAAAATCTGAAAACAAAATTATGTTATGCAGAATAACAATGCAAACCACTTTTGCCTCACAGTCATGTCGGACTTCCTAACCAAACTTGAGTTAAAAGTCAAAAACTATAAACAACTTTAAAAAAGACTTTAAAAAGTCACAAATTACTAGTAATTCATCACTTGGGTACTAGTAATAAATCATTATAGAGAGAGATCATGTCCGGACCCTCCAAAAAAACAAAAACGGGCCTCAAAAACCCCAGAGACAATTTTGGGGGCTTAGCTCCAGTGGGGAAGGGTACTGGATCGTTGTTTTTTTTTTTTGTTTTGTTTTTTTTTTTTTGCAGATCCGGTCCTTCTGGACCGGATGTCTGGAGTCCGGACTCAATCCAGACCGTCTGGACAACGGTCCGCACGTCCGGATCGTTGCCATGGTAAGAATGCTAAATTAGAAGATTACTTCGATTAGAAAACGTAGATAATTGAGTGAGAAAAATAGTATACATAATGCGTTCAAATAGAGATATATTCTATAACCGATAACCTTCGCAAACACATTTGAATAGATAATATGGATATATGCATCAAAATGCATAACATAAATAGATACGTTAAAACAATTCGCATATGTGTTGAAACAAATAACAAAGATGATTTTATTAGCATAGAGTCATACACCAAGGAGATGAAAAGGCTAGAGGAGATAACATCAACTTATAGGTTGCACAAACACACATATAAGCAACATGACACCCGGAACAAACTTATCGATCGCCTGCGCACAGGTGACACAGACATTTCAGACACGGACCTCATGCTATCAGCGACAGCAGACCTCTACACGGAACTCTACACCTCCAGGGAGAACCAACTTCCACAAACATCCATCAAGGAGGCCAGACACAAGTTTCTGAACCATCTAGACAAGACCTTGTCACAAGAACAGAGCGAAGAATTGGACAAACCACTCACTCAAGCAGAAGTCTGAGAAGCGTTGTACTCACTGCAACCGAATAGGACAACGGGCTAGATGGTCTCTCCAAGGAGTTTTGGAAAACCTTTTGGCCGGTGCTTGAACAAGAGTGCATGTCCTTCCTCAACAAAGCGGAGAGAGAGGAAGGGCTGGGAAAATATATAAGCACGGGAGTTGTCACTTTACTGTACAAAAAAGGCGATCCAGCAGACAACGAGAACTACAGGCCGATGACACTGCTGACCGTCGTATACAAAGTCCTGGCCAACCGCCTCAGCAGGATCACGAGCCACTGATTTCACATCGATCATACTGGATTCATCACAGGAAGGTTCATTCTCGACAACGTCATGACACTGGCTGAGTCGGCATGCTACATCAAAGACAAGCGACTCAATGTGGCTATCCTGTTCTTCGACTTCGAAAAGGCCTATGACCAAGTCAACTAAAACTTCCAGCAGCAATGTATGGAGCGGATGGGCGTGGGACCCAACTTCAGAAGATGGGTCTGAGTACTGTACAACGACGCTCACAGCCAAGTGCAAGTGAATGGGTTCCTCTCCACCCCCTTCAAAATGACACGCTCGGTTCGTCAAGGCGACCCTCTGGCAGCACCGCTGTTCCTCTTCGCGATGGAAGCTATAGCCTCCTTCCTACGCAAGGACCCGACCATCTATAGACTGGTAGCAGAGCCGTCTCCCCCCCCACATGCTGTGACCTTACCGACCACGCTGCTCTTTGTGGACGACCTCACAGCCGTCGTTAAAGCCTCTGAAGCATCATTCCAGGGTCTTAGTCGAGCCATGCAAGCATTCCAGCTTGCTTCCGAAATAAAAGTCAACTGGCGTAAGACGATGGGCTGGTAGGTGGCAGACTGTCCGCCACCCCCACAAGCCACCTCCCCCAAGGGATTCGAGTGGCAAGACCCGAGGACGCCCCTGCGATTCTTGGGAATCAAGGACCCGATCAAGCCATGGCGCCAGAGATTCTGACTAGGATACTACGCAAAATGGATACCTGGTCCAGCACCTACACGTCGGTCTTTGGAAGGGCAGTGGTGCTCAATGCGTCCATCTTCTCCATGCTGTGGTACGCTGCTACGATTTGGACACCGAAGGCCAACATGGTTACCACTCTCAAACGGCGAGCCACAACTTACTTACGGACAGAGAACCCCGCTGCACAACACTTCATACCCAAGGTTGCTTGGCTGGACCTCGTCCAACCAAAGGATAAAGGCGGATTGGGGATCCTCGACCCGGCCACCCAAATCAACGCCCTCTCAACGAAGTGGATCGCCAAGCAGTTGTTACAGCAACGACTGCCCTGGACGCCGTTGGCCTTGCACAGGATCAGGCAGCTGCCCAAAGCCACTACCCCGCCCAACATGCAGGGGCTTTTCTCACTAATGTCGAAGTCTTGGTCGTCCTGCGGCTGTCCCCAACAGATGGATCCACAGCAACAGCTGCCACCGTCGACCCGGTCGAAGTACTGGATGTACCTAATCAGGATCTGGCGAGAGATCTTCCCAGCCAGAGTTCGGAGCCCTGCCAACAGAGAGGACGTCCTGCGTCAACCCCTCTTCTGCAACCAGTGGTTGAAAGACCCCTCTGACAAACCATGGACCCTGACGACACAGGATGGCCGCTGGGTTAAGTGTATGGAACGAGGCGTGTGGCAACCCAAACACATCTGGAACCACCACTGCAATTGCTGGAAGACAGGCGCACAGCTCAGAGAATCCCTCAAGGGCTGCCATAACCTGCATGCCAAACTGCAGGCGATGTTACAATCCATACCACCGTACTGGGTGGCACTACTACAAACTCTGTCTGCCTGGACTACGGGGGAGTGGGCCATATGGAACTCAGAAAATACTCCTACGACGGCGTTGTCACACGTGAAGTCAACAGGACCGGCAGGGGACTGGGGGCTGTGGACCATCCACGATATTGAACAGCCAGGGAGCACGGTCAGCAGGGTTTCCAAAACAGGACGGGCCCGAGTCACAGCCAAACCGGCCCTCCTCAGGAAGATTAGAGTGGTCTACGACGACGACGACTACAGAATATACCAGCCGGGAACGCTCCTACAAGACCTGGAGTTCGACCCGGCCGAGTGGGCTTGGAAAGCAAGATCCACGTCAACAGGGACGCAGAAACGAACCAACATCTTAGACTACTCGACCAGCTTCGGCTATAAGCTCAGACGAAGGCCAGTAAACACAGAACTCATCCTGTCACAGCAGTGGGAGAAACACATCCCGGGCTGCCAGGGGGATACGCTGAAACTTGACTGGCAGGTTCCCCTTGCCATCAAGAACACCCGGATAAGAAGCATGCAATGGCTCATCTACTATGATGCCCTGCTGGTCAGACAGGACTTCAACGATAGCTGTGCAGTCTGCGACATTGGGACCCTCGAGGATCTGCCGCACCACCTGATATACTGCCCGAACGCACAAAGGCTTTGGGACAGAACGCAGGCACTCTGGTCTTCAATTACCGGCACACCACTGCCTGATAACCTGCTGACACGGCTAACGGGCCTGGCACAACCACGCCTTCGAGAAGGTTGGCATTCAACCCTCTTCCGAAGGCTTCACCCCCTTACGCTGTGGATCATATGGAAGACACGATGCAAAGAAACGATAGCCGGCCAAACCACATCAACCCAGGAGGCTTGGGTACACTTACTACCACTCTTACGGACGGAGTACCAGGCAGACTGGCACCAGGCAACCAAGAACATTAAAGAAGACCCCACAAAAAAGCAAGAAATCATAGACAAATTCAGCAAAGACCGGCTCGACATCACGCAACGGACTTCACCTCATTAGAAACAGCGCGTTCACAGGACAGTACAGCGGACATAAACGCAGCATAGGAAGCGCAGAAGAGCTAGGGTTTAAGAAGAAAAGGGATATTTTAGTAGTACTTCCTGTCCTTTTAGGGATTTTTCCTCTTGGTGCTGGTTGTAATTTAGTTAGTCCAGTTTCTATATTTCGTTCCGGAATAGTATCTAAGGCTTTCGAAGCATGGGACACTGGACCCGTTTTCCAGTCTGAGCCCAAACTGGGTATTGGCCCCAGTATTCCGGGTTGAGACGAGGAGGGATTCCCAGCCTCCTTTTGCTCATCCAATTAAAACATGCTATTTCTACCAAAAAAAAAAAAAAAAAAAAAAAGGTAAGAAACATTGCAATAAATCAAAGCACTCCCCATTAATAAATATTTTTAGGTTTATGTGAAGTTATGTCCAATCGCACCTATTTGTGAGATAGAGGGCATCCATCAGCATAACATCGACCGCGATTGACATTTTGGGACTTTGTGTCTTCAACATAATATGGTAAACATAGTTTGCTACCAAGATTAGCCATAAGTCTCTTAGTGATGTTCCCTGAGTAAAGATTGGCATACGATTACACATTCGGGTTACAGTAGACGAATCGCCTCTACGCTTACAACATCCTAAACTTGCAACTTGCAAGTACATTGCAACATGCTTCTCATGAATCTCATCTCAACCATTTTGGAGACTGGTGAGCATCGATTATCGTGTAACTTAGTGCAGTAACTAACAATTTCAAACGAAGCCTATTTTGCAAGTGTCCTAGATGAGCTGATGATTGTGATAATTGCCAAAAGGGTTTGGTTGGCAGCTATGCTTACAACTTACACAGGATTTCAGGTTTCCAGGTTTCAACAACATACCTCCAACATGGTCTTAATTAATACCAATGACTCCATGAGCTCCCGCCAAACCTTGTCTACTTCTTGGAACCGTCCCCCCTCAACAGGCATCTGTTGCATGATATCCTCTGATCCAAAAATGGGCTCCAGATAAAGCCAGGTGGCCTGTACCTTGAGCCAAGCCTCAAGAATTCCCTGCATTGTAGTCACCTGCAATTGCAAATGTACAAACTTCATTTGGTCATTTTCCATCCCACATCCCACATCCTACAACCTTGTAGGTCCTTGTCACAATGATCCCACCAAGCAAATGCCACAAATAGTGTTTTTTCTCAAGTTCAGTCTACTTAGTAGTAAAATACTAGTATAATGCCAGGTATTTATTGGTATTTTGTACCATATAAGTTCATACAACCCTCCAAAGTACTGCAGAGTTGTACCCCTAGGGGCGGACCCAGAAGAAGCCCAAGCCCGACAAGGCAAAATCCCAGGTCCCCCGGCCCAAGGAGACCAAACTAACCATCGGGACCTTGGGGGCAGTTTACAAGTTGACCAAGTTGACCAAGTTGACCAAGTTGACCAAACTGGTGAAGTTGAGCAAGTTGACCAAACTGGTGAAGTTGAGCAAGTGTACTTTTTTTGGGAGGGTGCAGGACATGAAACAGCATGATAGGGGAGAAATGAAAAAGTGAGGCAAGGATCACTGTAGGCAAGATACAGAGCATTGACATTTAACTAAGACAAGAACGCTGGCAAACTGGAGAAGCCAGTTCATCTTCTGGGGTGAGGAGAGAGATGGAAAATTCACCGAAAATAACACCCCCGGTTAACCACCTGTGACGGAGCCACATCCACACAGGCCTTTTTTTTTTTTTTTTTTTTT